CTGATAAAAAGCTCAGAGATTTTGTCTCTGGCTCTCTGGAGAGGCAAGCTGAACCCGCAGAAACTGATGGGAAATTCCTCACTGTCTTAGCGAGCCTGTGCTGTGACCTTGGAAATGCAGCGAGGAGGGTGGTGGTGCTGGGAACAGGAGGCTGAGCAGTCGGCTCACGTCTCACAGCAGCCCTGTTTTGGTGCTTTTCCTTTCGGTTATTCCTCCTTAGCAGCCTGTGATTGTCCGTGGGTGACACTGGCGAGAGGAGGAAGGGTGCAGTATGTGCGTGGGTGTTTGGGGCACGGTGGTTTCGCACCAAGGGCGCGCGGGGCCATGGGTGCAGGGCGCTCCGCGGCTGCATTTGCTCCCACCTTTGCTCTGGGGATCTCCGGCACAGCGCAGCGACTGCCTTCGAGATTTCCCCAGGCCAGAAATAAGACAAAATGCTGGGAAAAGCCTCACTGCTGGAAAGAGCCCAGCTAGATGGTGCCTGCCCCGCAGTCGCCTTCTGCATCCAGGCCTTGGGAAGCTCCTGGTGACGGTGCGTTCAGCTTCCCCACTCTGTGCAGGGGATGGTGTTGCTGTGCGAGCCCAGGGCCTTCAGCAGGCCTGTTCTGCAGCTTGTAGCCCATTTAGGACTTGTCTGTAGCATTTCCGTCCCCTGCCATTTCCTGAGCAATCATCTCTCCTGCCCGCAGGGGCTCAGGAGCGAGTGGTGGTGAGGACCAGGGTGTCTGTGACAGGTTTGCTGATTGCTCCATGAATGGCTCCGCAGGAACGGTGCCATGGGGTGCTGGGTGGGAAGGAAGCGATGGGGAGGGATGTTTGAAGCACCTGAATATGGGCTTCCTGGCAGGAAGGAGCGGAGACGGTGGTTGAAGCTGCCAGCAAGCAACAAAACTGCTTTCTCCTAGATACCGGTAGGCTTCATTGTGATCCATTGGGTCTCATGCTTTATGCAAGAATCCATACAGTTTAGCAGGCTACACGTTTCACATTGCTCTGTGCTGGCAAGCAGGGAAAGAAAAATTTCTTTCCATCTCTCTAATGCCTTCTTTGCTTCTCTCCAGCAGCTCTGCTGGGTGGCCAGAGGTGCATGGGACTTGGGTAGCTGGTAACACGGCAGTTCTCCTGCAAGGCCATGCATTACCTTAGCTGGTTAGTTGCTGTGACTGTGCATCAGCAAAGGAGACAATGGTGTTATCTCTGTCCTGGAAAGTCACCTGCTGCCCAAGGGCTGAGGGTGTAAACATCACTGCTGCGGGGCTGTGGATGGCTCTGTGGTGTCGTCTTAGAGCCGTCACATTGCGAATATTCAGGAATGTTTCCTCTGAAGTTTACTCCTTTTAACACCATGTATCCATCCATCAGATGCGCAAACTCCAAAAGAAGGAAATCTCCTTCTGGCATGGGCTGCATATAAATTAAAACAACCATTGCCATGAAATCTGTTCTGGGCTTATCTACAGGGCAACTGGAGTTTTCAGTTTAGCATGAAAATCCCTGTGTACCTCAGTTTGAATCTAGAAAATGGAAAGGGAGAATCTGTTTGACAGACTGTTCTAGGGGTTGAATGCTGATGCATTTTTGTATTTCAGAGCAAGCCCAAGGTGCCTGTTCAGAGCAGAGGTACCTGGGAGCAGAACCGCTGACCCCCTGGGGGTGGTGTCCTGCTTGCTGTGACGGAGGTGCTGTTCCTGGATGGATAAACCTTTCTAACCCCCTCTCAGCCAAAGGGAGGATTTGCCAGAGAGGGCTTTAGTTTGCTTTTTCTGCCCATTTCCCCACCCATTTATGGGAGAAAACAATTCTGCAACATCTAATCTGACGTTTTCATCACACTTTATTTAGGCCAGGCAGAGGAGAGGACAGCCTGGCATTACCGTGAGTCTTTGTTTCACGTATGTTGACACGAAGATAGTTCAGCTCCAGGACATCCCTCTCGTGGGTGCGGTATGGGCGCTGGTGGCAGCACTGCGCTTGGAAAGGAAGAGTTTTGCCTTACCACGAGTCTAAACATTTGGCAGGTTCTGGTCTAAACCAGGTAATTCTTGATCACTGGGATAATGTGCAGTAACAGCGCAAGTTTTTCTAATTCTCTAGTTTACGTTGAAGGACACACTGGACTATCACTCTGATCCTTTCCAACTACTGACCAGCAGTGCGAACCCAGCGCAAACTGAAGCATCTTCCCTGCTGTGCAGCACTGCTGGGTGCTATCAACGCGAGCACTGGCTGCCCAGGGTAGCTGATGAAGACATCCCAGTCATCTGGCACATGATAAATGCAATGTCTTCTGATTTTGCTCCTGATCCCCCTCATATTACATGCATAATTTAGTGGGAATAATGAGCGAGACCATCACATACACTGCCCTGAACCAGCTGATGGGCTGTCCCATCATCTCGGCAGCTGAGAGCGCATCCTGTTGCAAGCAGCGGCATGAACATCTCAGCCTAACACAGAGTGCAGCTTTTATGGAGAGCACTGAAACTTGTGAGTGGGTATTTCCTGTTTTCTCCTCGCATTTGAAGTGAACTTTATGCTAATGTATTCCAAATCTCTTGATGTTTTTGTCAATATTCCAGCTTTTACATCTTTGCCAGGAAGGAGCAAATCATTTAGATTCCTAAAACTTCACAGAAGTGATGGTTTCAGAGCTTATAAACACATTACTCAAGGAAACTATTAGCTGAATATTTGTGGTCTCAGTTTACCTTCCAAAAGTGCAAAAAAAAAAAAATCAGGATTAAATATTTTTCATTGTATAATTTTCCACTTTCTTTCACTTTCTAGGATCTGTAAATACTGTGTGAGATTCTAATATCATAGCAGATTAGTTTTTCTGAAAAGATATACATGAAATATCTTCCTGAATTCTTAATTCTATTAAGTAAGCTGGGAATAACTCTTCTGGAGTAAGTAGGGTCACAATGTTGTTGTAAAACTTGTGTCATTTTGAGAAGAAGTTGGGCTAGAATTTATTGAAAATTGATATATGCCTCTCTGGATGGAGCCACCTCTTCTTCCTGCATGCCCAGGTGCTGCCAGGTCCTGGGCAAACCCCTAGGGCACAGAAATAAATGATGCCCTCCTCTGTACACCGAGGCAGGATGAGCATGGAGACAGTCTGCTAAGATCAGGACAGCCTCTTCAGGCTGAAGTTCACTCTGTAATTTCAGGGTTCGCTTGTCCATTTTCCCTAATAAGAGGAGAGCGTTTTTCTTGAGCAGAAAACAGCTGTGACATCCTCATGTCCTTGGCAACTGCAGCATCCCCGCTGCTGAATCTCACTGAATCCGGGGGTTTCAGGGAAGCACATTTGAGCACCCACGTGCCTTGCACAGGGATGCCGGAGCCTTCGTGCCCTTGGGAGGCTCCTGGATGGGAGCTATGGTGAGGAAGGGGCAGCCCTGGAGCATGGGATGTGCCACGGGTGCGTGTGGGATTTTCACTGGCACTGCAGGTGACCGTTTTTGGGAGCCACATGCATGTTCTTGCCCCTTTGGGCACCCATTGTGCCAAAGCTGAGCTGCAGTGCAGGGCGCCTTGGTGCCCGTCCTGCAAGGACAGAGGCACCGCGCGCGGCTTTGCGCCTGCTTTGGTCCCCGTGGTTTCCGAGGTAAAGCTGGTTTTCTCCCTGCTGGGTTTGGATGCCATCTCCAGAGCGTCTTACCAGACTGAAAAGACCCTGGAGATAAATCCTGTGCTGGCATTTCTGTGTTCCCACTAATGCACAAGATGTCCTGGGTGCCCTGAGGTAGCTAGGCAGGGCTGCCCTGGTGCCCACTGAAGACCTGTGCAATCCCTGTCCTTGTGCTTTACCTGATGTGGAGCTTGCACAGGGATCACCGTCTCTCGAGGGGTATTTTAGTGAGCGTGGCCATAGCAGGGCCGGGGCTGTAGGGACAGACCAAGAGGACATTCACCATCCTGGCGTTTGGAGCTGGACACGACAGCTCTGTCCCTGCTTGTGTTGTTCCACGGATGGAATATTTGGGAAGGAAAAGGCTAACGGTGCAATGCCCAGGAGCTGCGGGACCATTCAGAAATCCTGGGCAATTGAGAGGACGCAGCCATCGTTCTTGGGTCTCTATTACTGCTTTCCCATATAAATACTCAAATGAAGAAAAAAAATCAAAAACGCACAAAAAACATACCTTCTCCTTTGCTTAGAGCATTACAAGGACTGCTGCTCAGTATCCTTGATCGCTGTATCCCAGGTTATTTTTAATGATTTTTGTTTGTTTGCTTCAGTAGGAGCAGCCGGGGTCAGATGCAGGCAGAGAGGAGCCCTCGTGGAGGGGGAAGGATCCCGGCAGGCCGGGGCTGGGCCGTGTCCCAGCGAGCGCCCGAGCTCGGAGGGCAAACCCGGCCGGCACGAGCTCCCGGTCTCCACGATGCAACGGGCAGGAGGGCAGCGTGGCCACCGCAAGTCTCCGCTGCAGACCGCACCCTGCCGGGAGCCTCCTGCTGCCTTTGGAGGTAAAGATGGATAGGGCTGCAGCTTCGGGCCCCGCTGTGCCGTGCTGCGGCAGCCGGAGCTCCGGGCGTTCACCCTGAGTGGCCGGAGAGGGACGGGGATACACATTTTGCCCTGAGATGTGATGGGGATTTGGAAGACAGCCTGCTTCAGAAAGTAGAGCTCGGTCCTTGGGGAGATATCAGTGATAATCACTCTGATTAATTCCAGAGATTCACACAAACAGTGAAGACCACTGAGAGGCCACCTCCTTCCAATACGTCAAATCACTGGTCTATATCTGCACGGGATAGGTTATCTGCACAGTTGTAAGGTTTAAATAGGATCAAAACAAGAATTTTCCTTTTCACTCCCAACAAAAGTTTCCACTAAGAGTTTTTGCAAATGCAGCCACAGGCAAACACCTGGCCTGGAAAATCTCCATTTGATTGATTTAGGCTGTGTAGTAGTGTGAGCGCCTGAAAACAAGGTCTCAAAAGAGAAAACAGGCAGGCTGTTGGGAGTGCAGCTCCCATTTAGGAGGCAGAAAGGAGCTATCCCAGGAGGAATCCTGCACCTTGTAGCCACTTCCCAGGTAAAGCGGTTTTGTGCTATGCAGGCAACCTAGCCTGGCTCAACTCTGACTTTATCAGGAGCTAGATTAAAACAGAGAGACCTCACTGCATCCTTAGCTAATACTTGCTTTTTGGGGGGTAAATAAGCATTTTGCATTTTGTACCTTTTGAAATATTTCTTTAATACTATGCTTGGCTGGGCAGAGGTCAACTGAAAAATGAGTAAATTACACTTGCAGGAATGCATTTAGAGCTGTGATGCACATAAATTCAGCTGCCATTTGGAAGAGTTCCTAATAAATTAGAAATTAAAGTTTTAGCTAGCAAAGCTTCCTATGCTTTGGTCTGTGAAAGAGCCTCCTCGCTCCCGTCCGCTCCCCGAGCCACTCTGGATCATCTTTTGTGGGCTGTCTTTTTCTTCTCCATCCTCTTAAAACTAGATGGTTTCAGATGGCCTTATTTATAGGGTTGTTGGCTAATGAACTCCTTGAGAGCAGGATTAGCGTTGCTGGAATTGATGAAGTCCTGCTTGGGGGCACTGGGTCCTGGCACCCTTCTGGTGACGGAGATCTGCAGCTTTATGTTGATATGGTCTTTGTAAAAGTCATCACCATGGTTTTAAAGTGAGAGGCCTTTGAAACCCTTCCAGCTGTGGTTGCTAAAAAGCCAAGCTCACAGACTTGCAACTCTTGCCCTTTTTTTCTTTCTTAATGATGGGGAGGGAAAAAAGGTCTCTGGAGAAATACAGTTTTAGCAATGAGATTTTTTTTTCCTTTTTAAAGAAGATAGAAAACACCCTGAAAAGCCAGCCTCTGAAATGCACGGGAGCATGGCCAGCCTGAAATATTAGCAAATCTCACATTTGCAAAGGAAGTTCTTTGCTCTCTGATAAACATGTTAAATATCACGACACCATGAATAGACAAAGCCAAACAGTTTCACGTAAATACATTCATTGAACTGTGATGACAAATACTTGAAGCATTTTTTTTTTCCCCCTCTTCCCGGTCATAGAGCTTTTCGGCCAACCACTTTCCAACTGTAGCTTATCAACAATTTTCCTCCTTTCCTTCTCCTCCTACGTAATCTGAATGTTGGTCTCCTTTTTCCCCAGTGTCATTCTTATCTGCCAGAAATACCTCCTCTCCCAAATACAGGAGGGTCGTGTATAAAGGTGAATATTTTTTACGCCTTAGCACCCTTGCTCACAGTTTTCCAGTTGCTGAACAGCTACAAGTAGTTGAAAGCTGTTTTTCAAAAGGTAACCAAAGTGCTATAGTGTGTAGAGTGGGGAAATCAAAACAGCAACAAGAAAAAAACAGATTTGTAAAAAGCATCTCCCTTTACATAGCTTTTTGAATGCTTATTTTATTGACTCTATATGCCTGGTATCTGGGCAGGAGGTACTTCAGCTTGTGACATTGAAATCGGCCTGACAAGCCCGGTTAAAGCCCAGTGTGTGTTTCTGTATCCTGGATACACACACTGCTCAGCCGCAGCACTGGCGGCTGTGATTACAGCTAAGTGGAGGTGGGAAGGAAGTTTTTAATTGTTATTTCAGTTCCTGCTGCGTTATCTCGACAAGTGGTAGTGGTCTGCGAGCTAGGAAAGGCTCTGTTTAATTCTTCATTGCAGTTCAGCGAGTTTACGCTTGCACACTGAGAAAATTCAACCTGGTATCACAGAGGCAAATATGAAAAGGCAACGCTGCCACTTCCAAGTCCTTTTGTAAAGAAGAGCCACACTTCAAATTGTGGAGAGTTTCTTTATTTGTCTGACTTGGTTTCGTCCTCCCTTTTCCAGCTGCCCAGCAGTGAGTTTGTTCCATCCTCCCCTTCCTCCTCCTCCTCGCCACAGGGCTGCTCAGCACAGCCAGCACTAAGGCCTTACTGCCCATTCCAGCTGTGGGAGAAGCACCGAGCTAACCTGAGCTCATAATGTCTTAAAAGAGAATAATAATAATAATAATAATAATAAAAGTTGTCTAAAAATGTGTTTCTGAGAATACCCCTTTGGACAAGGGAATGGAGCTGGCTACTCTGCTGGGGGAGCATCTCGCATGCGGTAAACTGGGGAGCTGGTGCCCAAGGGTTACCAGCACCCACTAGTGCTCCACACCTTTATTATGCTGTGCTGTATTTTTCAGCAGTGATTTTTCTGCTTCCTCTCTCTGGGGACCTGCCTCTGAGCTTCTAAAATTCTTGCTTGTGTGTGAACGAAGGGGCTATGTTCATCTTTGCTGTGTAGCTTTCATGGAAAACATGCTGGCTTGGAGAGGGAGGGAAAGGTGTCCTGCCCAGCCGGGTTATCCTGCTAGTTGGTTATCGCCACACATGCAGCTCTGTCCCACTGCTGGGAAGGAAGCTGTAGTAATTGCAACGCAGGTGGGATGCTGTGCGAAATGTAGGGAGGGGATTACTCTTGCAGACAGCATTTTCAGTGCTCCTTAGGAATGCTTTTCTTGTTTTTAGGACTTTTATTAAATAACATGTAGATATTTCAGTTCTTGTTCAGTATCTGTTCTTGTTTTCATGCTTATTTGGGGGGCATTATTATATATATTGCTAAGTCAAAGAGGTGAGAGTCACTGTGTCGTGATGTAGAATGACTTTTACATCCTCCAAAGCACAGGCAGAAGCTGAGGCCTTGACAGGGGCTGTTTCAGGGTAAACCTGGCAAATTTCCCCTTGGATGGGAAGAGAGCAGTGAGTTATGACAGCGGATAATGCCGGAACTGTGTGCTGGGTCCCGTGTGTACGAGTGGTGCCATCTCGTCCCTGCTTGCACTAGGTTTTGAATCTTCTTCAAGGACGAAGTTTTGAGCATCACGAATGTCCCCCCACACGTGGGACCCATGTGTGTGCAGGGGGTGAAACGCACTGGACCTTTGGTCTTTTCTCTAGTGAGCAAGTGCATCGTTTAATTTCTTTTGGACAGTATCCACATCACTTATAGGTACTCTATAGCTATAGCTTAATCCATCCTGGCAGAGTTCATCTCTAATTTTAGTGTGGTTTTCTGTGTCAGGCTACAGAAGGGTTTTTGGGTTTGTTTGCTTATTTTTTATCAACTATTTTAACAAAAGCATCCAATAAGTAATGATTCAGGTTAATTCCTTTCATGGCAGGACAAGTTGTGCATTCAAACTGACCAATTCTTTTCCCTTTTAGAGGGTTACATAATGCTCGTGAAGCAGCAGGTGAGATGCTTTTACTCCACGAGCCCCATCCCAAAGCTGGTGTAATCAGACCTTCTGACCTCCTGTATGTGTGTTTGCCTTTGCGACTAGGGGTGATGCTTGGCCTGCAACTTCCCTCAATTGCTTTGGAGGAAAAAAAAGGCTTATCTATAACATTTCCCCCCATTCTGTTTCTTTATGGGGCTGAGCAGCAAGTACCTGCTCCGCTTCCCAAATGGAAGCAAGGCTGAGGGGCGACTGTGCTCTCCGTATGGGATGGCACCTTGCCAGCCGGAGCACCAAAGAGCTGTTGAAACCAGCAGCTCTTTTCCCTGGCATTGACCCAAAGGGTAGCTAGCACAGTAGGACCTGTGGGCCTCAACCAGGCCCATGGAAATCAGTGGAAAAGCCCCTTCACTGAGCCCATAGGTTTGGGGGTCTGTCTTTCACAGGATTATAAAAACATGTGTTCTCTTAGCTGTGCCTTGGTACCTCCCTGGGCATGTTTTCCTCTTGCAAGCTTGAAAGCAGAAACCTTGAAAGGCAGCTGGAGCTCCTGGATGAGAAGAAAACTGTATTGGCATTTGATCTGGATGGGAATAAGAGAGCTGTTGCTGGGAGGTCAGTCCTAAGGTATTTTGTGTTTAGCTCATCTGTTTACCTCTTATATTTTGGTCAGGATGTTGCTCTGCGTTTTTTTTGAAAGTGGAAAATCTGGGGGTGGTTCTTTCCTTTCTCCTTGTAATCTCTGGGTTTAGTTAAGCCCACAAAAATGCTGAGAGAAATTGCTTAATCCCACTGAAGTCTGTCATCATCATCAGCTAGCTCGATATCATTTTTTTTTCTTTTTCCCCTCTCAGAGGAAGCTGTCATTTGGCAGAAGATGGATATCTGTAACACATCATGGGAGGCTTAACGTTAAGAGCAGCTTTACGTTAAGAGCAGCAGTATTGCCAAGGCAGCACTCTGAGAGCGCAGCTTGAGGGGCAGGGGGAGGTTTGGGGGAGCACTTGGGCTGAAGAGGCTCCGTGTGCCTCTCTGTTGAGCGGGATCTCACTCGTGCCGCCAGGCTCCGTGGCACTGCTGCTGCCCTTCCAAAGGGATGCTCGTTATCCTCTCCGTTTCTCCTTCATCACATTGCAATGAAAATCCACCTTGTAGTGAAGGTCTTGGTGCTTGCAGGTTTTCCTGTCCATAAGCGTGGCAGATCAGGGGTGGTTCTGGAGCAAAACAGATGATAGGTGTTTATAGCCCCTGGCTTCTCAGAGAAGTTACTAATGAGGATCTTTTTGGGCCCCAATACCTGTGACTTTTTCGCCAGCATCCATTGGGAGTCTCTGGAAGTCTTCATCATCTTCATCAAACACTGAGGAGGCCTTTTTCCAGCTCACAAGTTTCCTAGAACTGCTGTTTTAAAACAATCTTTTAAATGGACCTTTCTAATAGGCATGGTAATTAAAATGGCCATCTGGCCATAGTCTTCCCTTCTCTTTGCCTTGATTGACCAAGTTGACACCCAATTCAGAAAGAAGACACCTTCCTTGTGCACACCAGCTATGGCTTCTTTTTATCTCTAATGGTAACAGGGCAAGATGGCCTAGCACAAGGCCATCTTCTTCAGCCAAGAGACTGAGAAGATGTCTCTTGGATGAAAAGCCTGTGCCTGGTGGTGGCAGAGGCAGTACAAAAAGTTGCTTAAGTTGTGTATATTGGAAAGTTGCTGTCAGTATTTTCTGATAGAAAAATGTCATGTCTAAAAAAGTGTTTATTTTGAGGAGTCCTCCCCATCCCATGTCATCCCCATTTATCCTGGATTTAGGAGAGAAGAGGAATCCAGTTTTC